TTGGGTTATCCTGAGTTAAAAGTGAAAATGTGTAATGTTTTCCCTATGTTGTTTTTGAATGTTTAAATTTTTGAGATGGTGACGACGAAGATGTCCAGAAAAAAATGCATAGGGAAATTTTTTCAAGAGAAAAAGAATTACTCTATGTTGATTTTAGTCAATGAATTGTACCTTTTTTCAATAAAATTTTTTTTTGGATGTATATGAAATGCATTGGTTGTATAAATTATAAATAAATGAAAATATTGTGTATTAGTGTTATCCTGCATTTTAAGTTTATTGTCTGCTCGACAAGATTCAGCCGTGTGTGTGAGGTCATCACATGACGTCACTGACTGCCGAGTAAACACAGTGGGGTGACATCACACTTGTTTAGACCTGTAGTAAGAGAAAGTACCCTGCCCCTAGGGGGAGTTCATTTGAATGCTTACCCCTAGAGGGGGCAATCCAAAAAACTTGATCCAAGGAGTTGGAGCAGAAATTTTGGGGTAGAAGTGGATGATGGGGGAAATCTTTGTATTATTGATATCGAGAAAAACTTGATCCGAGGAGATCATAAGAATTTCGAAACCCCCTAGGGGGAATCCAAAAAAATTGATCTGAGGAGTTGGGAGTCTTTGTATTATTGATATCGAGAAAAACTTGATCCGAGGAGATGGAGCAGGGAATTTGGGATGCAAGTTGTTCTTCAACTCTATACATCCTTGGTTAGGCCTCATTTAGATTATGCTGCACAGTTTTGGTCACCGTATTACAGAATGGATATAAATTCTCTGGAAAATGTACAAAGGAGGATGACAAAGATGATCCCATGTATCAGAAACCTTCCCTATGAGGATAGACTAAGGGCCCTGAAACTGCACTCTCTAGAAAGACGTAGAATTAGGGGGGATATGATTGAGGTGTATAAATGGAAGACAGGAATAAATAAAGGGGATGTAAATAGTGTGCTGAAAATATCTAGCCTAGACAGGACTCGCAGCAATGGTTTTAAGTTGGAAAAATTCAGATTCAGGAAGGATATAGGAAAGTACTGGTTTGGTAATAGAGTTGTGGATGAGTGGAACAAACTCCCAAGTACCGTTATAGAGGCCAGAACGTTGTGTAGCTTTAAAAATAGGTTGGATAAATACATGAGTAGATGTGGGTGGGTGTGAGTTAGACCTGATAGCTTGTGCTAACAGGTCGGTTGCCGTGTTCCTCCCTTAAGTCAATGTGACCTGACCTGACTAGGTTGGGTGCTTTGGCTTAAGCCGGTAGGAGACTTGGACCTGCCTCGCATGGGCCAGTAGGCCTTCTGCAGTGTTCCTTCGTTCTTATGTTCTTATGTTCTTAAGTGGGAGTCTATTTTGAATGCTTACCCCCAGAGGGGGGAATCTAAAAACTTGATTCGAGGAGAGCACAAGAAAATAAAAAAAAATCGAAAAATTTTTGGATGGGGGTGAAAGTGGGAGGGGGAACCTCAAAAAACTTGATCCAAGGAAGTAGAGCAGGAAAATTTAGGGTGAAAGTGGGAGTCCATTTTGAATGCTTACCCCCAGAGGGGGAATCCAAAAACTTGATTCGAGGAGAGCACAAGAAAATAAAAAAAAAATTCAAAAAAATTTTGGATGGGGGTGAAAGTGGGAGGGGGAACCTCAAAAAACTTGATCTGAGGAAGTGGAGTCTTTGTATTATTGATATCGAGAAAAACTTGATCCAAGGAGATGGAGCAGAAATTTTGGAATGGAAGTGGGTGGTGGGAGTTGTACCCATAGGGGAAACCCATAAAATTTGACCCGAGGAGATGGAGAGCACAAGAAAATGAAATTAAAAAAAATTCGAAAACAAATCGGAAAAAATTCGGGGGTGGGGGCGATCCGGACGATGCTGCAGAAGGTGCGGGGCGGGTGCGAGGGCAGGCATAGGGCAGGGTGCGGGGGTGGCCGCCAGTCGGGGGGGGTGCGTGGCGGGCAGGGGCACACGGGCGCGGGGTGGGGGGCGTGGGTCGGGGGATTGAGTGCGAGGTGGTCGAGGGTGAGGTGGTCAAGGGTGAGCTCAAGGTCATTAGCATAAAGGTGTGAAAAGGAGTCCACTCAGCCTCAGCCGCAGACCTTTCGGGAGGAGACCGCTGAGAGGAGACCGTACCGTGGAGACCGTACCATGGGAGCCGCTCTGTAGAAGAGACCGCTCTGTAGAAATCATCACTACTAATACTGAATGACACTGGATAATAATAATAATAATAATATTATTATTATTATTTCTTATTAATATTACTGTTTTATTGTTATTATTATAATCGAAAAGAGCTAAACCCTCTCGGCTTATACAGTGCTACGTAAAATGTGTCAAGTAATACAAGCAGTGACTCAGTTTGCACTGAGCGAGGAATCAGCAACAGGCCCAGCTCTACTTCTGCCTTTGATCCCCGTTGTCGTGGGAAACCTTTTTCACCACGATGCACTCCCAGCACGTGAAGATTTCACCACCTGATGAAGGAGCCACCGACTCCTGATGAATACCCTGCACGTCAATCTGTCCACCTTATCATTGCTAAGGACAAGATAGTTACTACCTCTGATATGCTGAAGACGAAGATGATGTCAGTATTCGTCAAGAGGCTGGACCGTGATATTACCTGCCAGAGAACCAGCGACCTGGCGCCTCATTGTGGACGTGAACGATAAAGCCAGGTACATGAAATCACGAAGATTCCCAACTCGTCTTTGATGCTCAAGATCAGATTTGCTGAGAGCTTTATGGCTTTCCAGACTCTCAATGGAGATGTTTGCATCTCTTAGTGTTATATAGACCCGAGGAACGTTGAACCATAACGCTACCATCACATTACCCCATGCAGGAGCTGATACTCATGTGCCCACATTGACAGATACTGCTTGCCGAAGGACAAGAAAATACTACTGCAAATGAGGTAATGAAAGCAAACCTACAAGGACTATTCACTACTCAGCCAAAATGCCTTAACTGCAAGAGTGATCATCGTAACCTTGCAGCCAAATGCCCACTTCGGAAATAATCATCAAAAAGCAGAAGACCATAATGAAGTCAACACCACGCCTCCAGGTCCCCACCAGAAGATCTCACGAGGTGTTCAGCAGCCAACCATCACCACCACTGCACCAGTGATGAAGTCAACGTCAGCCTTTCAAACTGGAGCCTCATAGACAGATTTAGAAAACACTCGCCTGTATAATCTATGCCCATGTGGAAAATACTGCCATCTAGGTACCTTCAGTAAAGTCGCCAATGACATATTCCTCTTCAGCAATCTTCCTGATATGAAATTTCCATGCCAACTCCACTCAAACATTAGGATCATCCATTCAGACAACTGCAATGTGATTATCCTAGAAGTAGCCAGGCCAGTCACTACTATAGTAGCAGTAGGTTAGGTTAGGTAAGATTTGTCAGGAAACAGGACAAGTGTTTCTCGACGCGAGTCTGTCGTATGATGACCCGCAACTGGGGGATTTTGGTCATCTGACAGATGACCTTCCACTGGCTTACCCTCCACCCCTTAAAGATTATGCAGCAGCCAACCTTTAAGAAGACAAAGAAGATGACAGCGTAGAAGAAACTGCAGCCAATAGAAAAATTATGTGCTTTATCTCCACTAAATACAACTTAGAATGCTTCTATGCCGAAGTGTTTCCTTACACCGGTTGTCCATGTTCACCTAGCAGTAAAATAGGTACCTGGGTGTTAGTCGACTGGTGAGAGTCGCATCCTGGGAACAAAACTGACCTAATTTGCCCAAGAAATGCTCTGCATAACAAGCGGTTTTCTATATAGTAGTATGTCATTGATATCAGTTATGGTCTGTATACCTTGTACATGTACTTGTAGAAATAAAGATATGTAATTATTATTCATTAATTAAAAAATAGTTTGACACTATTTTTTTTTTTTCTAAAATTGTAGGCTAGACTTCAATAAACTTTCGCACGTTTTGCTAATACAATAATTTCCTGGGTAAACGTATTATAATTTTGACTGTGAATGTTATGTAATATTCTACGGTGATGTGGAAAATGTGAGAGCAACGAAATATAATTATTTTATCTTCCTAGCCTATCATTTCTATCGTGTATTGTAAACTATTGTATTTTGTTCAGACTTGATCAGAAAGTCCACGGATGCAAATGGCGGACTGACGATATAGTACATCTCTCGATATTAATCTCTTCATTTTACGTATTAAAACATTCTTGACTGGAGGTGAACATGTGACATAAAACCTTAATGACCTTATGATTAAGAACATAAGAACATAAGAACGAAGGAACACTGCAGAAGGCCTACTGGCCCATGCGAGGCAGGTCCAAGTCTCCTACCGGCTTAAGCCAATGCACCCAACCTAGTCAGGTCAGGTCACATTGACTTAAGGGAGGAACACGGCAACCGACCTGGTAGCACAAGCTATCAGGTCTAACTCACACCCACCCACATCCACTCATGTATTTATCCAACCTATTTTTAAAGCTACACAACGTTCTGGCCTCTATAACGGTACTTGGGAGTTTGTTCCACTCATCCACAACTCTATTACCAAGCCAGTACTTTCCTATATCCTTCCTGAATCTGAATTTTTCCAACTTAAAACCATTGCTGCGAGTCCTGTCTAGGCTAGATATTTTCAGCACACTATTTACGTCCCCTTTATTTATACCTGTTAACTTAACAGGTTTTAAGTTAACCAATAGTAAAGGAAAGACCGTTGTGGGACAAACTTTTACCAAGACGACGTTTCGCTCTGTGTAGAATTTGATCACGTTATGATAAAGGTCTACACAGCCACACATGTGTCCTTTTTCACAAAATCCATACTCGTGTGCACTTTTATCCATAGTATTTAAGGTAAGTAATGTGTGTGTTGTAGTGAGCTTTACAGTTCCTTTGCGTTGAAAATTATGTAATTGTTGTGTAGTTAATGTGTGTTTGTGTGTGTTGATCTTCTCTCAGTATTTAATGTGTGTTTCACTGTGACTTGCTGCCAGTGGTTGCTGCTGCTGCAAGTGACGGAGGCACTCAGCACGCTGTCTGCTTGATGCCACCTTCGGAAGCACCTATGGAGCCACCTGACAGAGCTTCTGAGGTAGCTCCTAAGGGAGTATCACCAGACGCATCTAAGGGGACTCGGTCAGGGGTGCCTAAAAACATACAAGGTGCTGCTGCTGAAACACGTAAACTGGCATCAAAGAACGCCCCAAAAGGAGTACATACGGTGTCACCAGGGACACCCCAGGGTGCACCTCAAGGGTCAACAGGTGCGTCACAAGGGGCTAGAGACATGCCTGGCCGAGCCTCCGAAGCAAAAGTTCTTGCTCGAAGGAAAGCGTGACCCCCGCCTCGGTTAGCTGCCCCCGACCCTCCTAAAGGTAGTAGCAAGACTGTCAGGGACCCATTAATGTACATTAAAGAAAATTGATACAGGTTTTGTAGTCTTTTGTGATTGAATATTACATGAAAACAATCAAAAAAACCCTGATTATGCAAACTTTCAGCGCATATACACATATGCAGACAGGGGACCTAATTATACATAGCATCCATGAGTGAGTTTTCTCTAAATTCGTGGATTTTATCGCCTTCGTGCACAGAATTAAGCAGGGTGTGAGAACATTGTCACTAGTAAAGTTGAATTTGGTTAGTTGTACATCAAGTAGTAAGCGCAGTATGATTTCGACGGGTTTACCGCATTTTTTTTAAATAATAATTATTAAGGTAGGTGTCGTGAGAGGCGACTAAAATGCCGGGAGCAAGGGAGGGGCTAGTAACCCCTTCTCCAGTGTAAATTACTAAGTGTAAGAAGATTTTTTATTTTTTCGGGTCATTCTAACTTGGTGGGAGCGAACAGTGTAGTAAAAAATCGTAAGAAAGTTGTTTGCTTATGTGAATGAAGAACTGATGTGGATATCACCCATACCAGGATTTTGAAAAATAGCCCCCTCCTTCCCTACTAAATTTTTCTTTCAACAGTGCTAAAAACTAGCCCTCCCCTCCCCGAAAAAAACAAACCAATGTATTATCAAATATTCCGGGGGAAGCACTAAAGCCGCAGAGGTCAATACAGCGCTGGGAAATGGGAGATAATCAGGTTTGATTGAAGGAAAGTGAAAAGTTTTTCTCTGATATCGGAGCTCCTCCCTTGTAAAGGTCGCAGCTAAATGCATCATCATTAAAGGTTCCCTTGCACACTTTCTACACCTTTAAACTATCCGCCATGATCTTTACATATCCTTTAAAAGCCATCAATTTAACTATTGATGTGCAATGTTAAAGTGCGAACTAATTTAGATAAAACTTAAAATTTAAAAATTCATTCGTAACTAAAATAGACTCGTTAAAGTTTAGTAATACGTAATCTAAACTGGGTAGAAATGTTGATCCCACAGGTTACACAGTAGACCATAACCTATGTGACAAGTAAGTATACATTATGGTTCATATACTGTTGATGTAAAGTAGCGATTCTTCACTTACCTGAGGTGGTGCCCACTCTCACAGTTGGTCATACCCCATCCTTCCTCCTCAGTATAAAATTTTGAATGTAAAAATAAAAAAAAAGATAAAGCAACTAGTTTTTATTCTCATCTATATTAGTTTTAACTATTGAAAAGAGTCCATTTAAGGAGCAAATCTCAAATACACAGCATTATTCCTTATTTTTGCTCTGGGTTCGTCACCTTAAAATTACATACGCCCCCTTGGGGGAGGGCGACCTTCCTAGGTTAAGAACCGCTGCTCTAATGCATGTTTAGTGCAATACACCCGAGTGTGCTTTCTAACACCTCGACACACTTATATGAGCTTATGACACATTAATGCACAAGGAGTATGTGCGTGTACTCACCTACTTATGGTTTCAGGGGTCGATTCATGGCTCCTGGCCCCGCCTCTTCGTTGGTCGCTACTAGGTCCACGCTCTCCCTGCCACAAGAGCCTTATCGTGTGTACTCACCTATTTGTGGTTGCAGGGGTAGTCACAGTTCCTGGCCACGCTTCTTCGCTGATCGCTACTAGGTCCCGTCTCCCTGCTCCAAATGCCTTATCGTACCTCATCTTAAAGCTATGTATGAATTCTGCCTCCACTACTTCACTCTCCAGATTGTTCCACTTCCTGGCAACTCTAAGGCTGAAGAAATACTTCCTAACATCACTATGACTCATCTGAGTTTTCAACTTCCAGTTGTGTCCTTTTGTTGCTGCGTCTCGTCTCTGAAACTTTCTGGCCTTGTCCACCTTGTCAATTCCTCTCAGCATTTTATACATCGTTATCATGTTTACCTTATCCCTCGTGTAGTCAGGATGATTTCCCTTAACCTCTCCTCATAGGACATACCCCTTACCTCCGGGACTAGTATTGTTGCAAACCTTTGCACTTTCTCTAATTTCTTGACGTGCGCGCGCGCGTATGTGTGTGTGTGTGTTTGTGTGTGTGTGTGTGTGTGTGTCACATAAAAGATAATAGAATATGAAATGTTACATTTCTGGAGAGAGCATGTTGTGGTGTACAGTACTAGACAATATATGGAAGACTTCCCACTGCTGTTGTAGCACTCTTCCACAAAAATACTTGACTGGAAGTCTTTCACAGAAAACCTAGTTGATTGGAAGTCTCACAGAAATCCTAGTTAATTGGAAGTTTTTCACATAAATAGTTGATTGCTGCTTGGCAGGGTACGACTTGATGACGTGTGAGGAGTGTTACTGAAGCAGTTACTGTGTTTGGCAGGGTATGACTTTATGACGTATGAGGAGTGTTACTGAAGCATTTACTATGTTTGGCAGGGTATGACTTGATAGCAACACGAATCATGCAGCAGATAGTGGGGGAGAACAGGGACATCCCAGCGCCTTCCACCGTCCCTGAGGCTGATCCTCTACTGCGCTCACTCCCGCCCCCGAAGTAAGTCGGAAACTCCTTGTCGAGTGGTTAGGATCCAACTCTACTTTTGTTAGTTTAAATAAAGAAACATAGCTAAGCTCGTACTGTATTTTCTTGCATATAAGGCGCACGAGCGTTCTATTATTGCAACTTTATTAAAAAATAAAAAAATTATAAATTTTAATTAAAAAAAAAAAATAATATAAATAAAATAAAATTAAAATTATTAATTTAAATAATAAGTCAACTGTATGTCCTTAATAAAACACACACTTGTCCATAACCCAAAAGCCTATTCTTAATGCTGACCTTAAGCATATAAGGCCAGGCTGATTTTTCAAATCTTTTTTCTCTGGTAACAAAAAAAAAAAAAGAGGGCGCAACTTATACTCCGGAAATACGAATATAACTGTTGCTATTCTTGTCTACTTAATTAATCATTACTAAATAATTCATAGAAATTTAAGAGTGTTATTTTATTACAAAAGTTTTTATGGAATGAAGTTTCTCCGCTTTGATTTTATGATACAAACTTCAGAATGTTTAATTACAGTTAAATGTTTCAAGTGTTGCATTCTTTAGTTTTCTCCAGGAAAGTACAAACAACATAGTAATGTTTAATGTTTGTAATAACATTATTTAGTTCGAAGAATATGTGTGTGAAGCCTACACAGGTTGAAGAACTAACGAGCTTATCAAACTAACAGACGCACGAGAACGGAGACTAATACAGATGAACCATGAGGTAGTGGTGATAAAGAAGTAGTAGTGCCACTTACTTGTCCGGGACTTTATACTGAGTTGTAATTTGTTGGGCCGTGAGAAGACTGGATCAAGAAATTGGTGGCTGCTCCACCGTTTCTCCGACTCAAACCTGATTACTTCTCATTTTCCATGCGTTGCCATGACCCCCCTACGAATCTATTCTTTCCTATGAAAATAATAATGTGGGTATTTGAGAAGGGAAAGTGCAGGAGGTAAAGGAAATAAATGGCGGAATGACGAGGTGAGCATGGAGGTAAAAGGGGAAAAATTTGGCTTAATAAAAGTTTTTACAGTGTGACAGTTCAGAAACGGAGGAATATATGAAAAATAATAAAGATGTAAAAAAGTTTATAAAAAATAATGAACCTTAAAGAGTGGGGTGAAGTTGTGGCAGTTTTTTGTTTTGCTGAAAAAGGGAAAGATTTATTTTATTTATTTGAAATTTAGCATACAAACAAGAACAAAAAAATACAGTAAAGAGGCAGCATGCCAAAGCACTTATATGCATAGCAATTACGGGCTGGCTAAAATAACGTAAGATTAACTAATCAATGATGAAAAACGTGATAAATACATTATTGTAAACAGAAAACTATAAAGCACAATGAGTATACAAAGACAGTGTCATATGGTTGCATACATTGCTTTTCATTCAGTAGAAATGGATTATTCTGTTAGGTAGTGTATTAAAAAAAAATAAACAAAGTTAGGTTTTAAACATTTGTGTGATATAATGTGAGTAACATTTAGGATATACAATTTATAATGGTTCAGTTATTCAGTATTAATTGGTTTGATGAGAAGTGGACCTGAGAATAGACTTGAATTTATAAACAGGTAAAGTGTTTCTTTTAATTTACAGTTAAAATTCCAGAATTTTAGTGCCATTTATGTGCATTGAAGTTTTGCATAGGCGTGAGGAAGGACCCGAGGAACATCAGAGAGTGATCTGTGCCTTGTATTATGGTCATGTGTTCTGTTGGAGGATGGCAGAGATGTTTTGAGTGGGGAGGGTTTAATAATAAGAAAAAAATGTAATAGGTGCAATAATTAAGTATGGATGTTTGTATGGGTGGAGTAGGTTGAGTGTTTTGAATATTGGTGGAGTGTGCTGCTGTAGTGAAATTTGTTTATCATCTAACTGCAGCCTTTTGTTGGGTAATTAGAGTGGTCTGAGATGGTTAGTTTTGTTGAGCCCCATGCACAAATTGGCCATAGTGAGATAGGGTAAATAAAGAGTGATATAGGGCCAGGATGGCTGAACTGTGGAACATAGTACCGTATCATCGATACTATGGCCTACAGTCTTGAAATTTTCTTAGAAATTGTTGTATAATGTATTAAATTTGAGTCTATTATCGAGGTTGATTCCTAAGAAGCTTCCCTCTGTTAGCATTTGTGATAGTGATCCGTTTATTCATAATGTTAATAGTGACATCTGTAGCTCTGCTACCAAACTGAGATGAAGTAGATTTTGTCAATGTTTAGTTGTAAGTTTTGTTAGTCCTCATCCAGGTAGATATTTTTCTGAATACGGTGTTTACAGTATTGGCTAGCGGGTGACCGGCTCGGTGAGAGAAGAACGTATGTGGTGGCATCTGCAAAAATGTGTGTTTTGAGTAATTGCTAAGCATTTTGTAGGTCAATTCTGTATAGGAAGAAAGAGAAGAGGGCCAAGGACACTTTCC